CCCCCCCCCCCCCCCAATGAAAAAATCCTGTGTACATCCCTGGAGTGTACCGAGCTAAACAAACAGAATATACAAAAAATACCTGATCCAGATAAATTATAAAAAGATCAGGCTCAACAGGACAATCCTGGCCTGATTGAGCTGGCTGTACACATTCACACATATTTATATTGCCATATACCAGGGTCGGGAAGCCATGCGATGAAAATCCCCTACCTGTTAGGCATAAAGGAAAGTGCCCCACATGTCCCACCTTTCCTGAGGTTGGGTGGGAGTTACAATTGACAAGTGCATTATATCTATCCTCTTATGTTAATACTGAGAAGATTCAATTTTCGCAAAAAATCTTATGATATTTTCCTATATTATCATTATGTTATGATTAGTCATAGCATATTAGGTTATCGGATTTAAATTAATACTGAAAATTGCTTACGTTTTATCGCTACTCAGTGGCTGATATGATCTTAATTGTGTAAAAACAGATATAATATTACAAATGACTCTTTTAAAAGATCTGATGTTATATTATTGAAAAAAAAATTCTTATATTTATATCAATATAAGAAAAAAGATTACCGATTTTTGAAAAATCTTATATCCCTTCAAGTAACAAATGAATATGTTCAAAGGCATGGCATGAGTGAGATGAATAATAATCAAACTTAAAAAAGTTTTTGAATTGTAAACAATTTTATGTCCTTGATAATTTTCATTTGTATACCTATAATTGATAACTGATGCGCTTGTAAAATTTTAACATTTGACACAAGGTTAATTTAAGTACACAAATAAAATTATACATGTAAATCTACTCTCTCATTTTGTAAATTTGAAAAGTATATTTAATTAAACTTTTCTTGAAATCAATTGTCCTGAAATGAAGTTAATTGCTGTTGAGCGACTTAGTGGCAATTTATCTAGTCCCAAGATACGGCTGGTTACATCCAATAAACAATGCAGGTGAGACCGTACATGAGTCCGATTTTCCGAAAGTAATTAACATAACTATTGTCAATCAATGTTGTTCGGCGACCCTTGCTTTGGAACATGTTGCAACAGGTGTATGAATAGCCCTGCACGCACACAGATTCTTAAATGATCAAAGCTATGGCGTCTTGCACAACTCCGAAGAAATCAGTGTCAGAAAAAATATCGAATTGTTGCCGTTGCTGCAGCAGTGACAATACTTCTAATCGTGTTAACCTCTATGGTGCTAAATCTAAGGACGATGGTATCGTGTCAACTATTTTTCACTTGACAGGTACACAACTTAACGAAAACGACCATTTTTCGAAATGGATTTGCCGTTCGTGTGCGCTCAAAATTTCAACATTGAAGAAGAAAGTGGACGAGCTTAAAACTATTTTTGACGAGACTACACGAAGACAAGAAGAAGAATTTGTAACCTCCAGGTCAAAACGAGGCAGAAGAGAAACGCAAACAAGTTGTCAGTCACCAACATCTTCGCCGACTTCTTTGTCAATGCCAAACTGAAACTGAAAGTCGAAACTGAAAGTCGTGCGTCACGGTCTTTGGCCAAACGTTTCCAATCAATTGCTCCCAAACCAACATATAGTCAACCAACAAACTTGTTATCTTGTAACGACCTTCAGTCAACCAACGCTCAACAACGAAGACATCTACCTGCATCGTTCTCTCAAAGTAATGAAAGCCAAACCACCAACAGCCCTCCGCCGGTACAATCAGAAGAAATTACCCTTTTATCCACATGCGGATTACAAGCATTGAAGGTAAACTACCAAAAAATATATTTCTGTCTATTGTATATTAAGATATTACATTATATCAATTTATTATATAATACTCTACTGATACAATGGCTAAAAAGTATTGTCAAAAACTTTTCACTACAGAGTGAAGCGGAGTCAACATCCAGTCTTAATTCCTCCCAAAAAAATAAGTTAATTGAAGAGATTGTCAAAGGATCTCCAACTTTCCTTGCACGAACTGTGATGGAAATTCCACAATTGAAGAAGTGTGTTATGGTTTTGTTTGTTGAGGACATAAACGAAAAATGCAAAAAACTTTGCTCGAAAACCAAAGAGAAACCTTCGGTTTTGCGAGTTACCCGAGAGCAGCAGAAAAATCTTGCTGAATTTAAATGGATTTCTCTACTACGCGAGATGAAGGAAAGGGTGCCCGAGGTTCTTCATATCTTAATGGCTATAGCATCACCTCGCGTGAAAAATGATAATTCGCAAGTGGCTCCATTGTGTACTGCATTTGGAATATTGATGCACTTACGTTCCAGAGAGTTATCCCTTGTGCAGAAACTTAATACTGTTGTCATCGGAACAGGAAATGCTACGAAAAAGGTATGGTTCGTTTTAGAGTGTCCCTATATGTGCCATATAGTGTGTTAAAAGTCGTCAGTTGTGTGTCATAAAACCGAAATGATTTGTGAGAAGTCGGGCTATTTGCTAACCGATCGCGCCAGATCTATACACTTTTTTTGTCCTATTACACAATACGCGCATTATAATCAGTGATAATGTACGCAATATGTTGCGCATTTTACATTTAACAAAGTATAACAATTAAGTTTGATTTCATCAAGTCTTTATTTTTACACCATTTTAAGCTAAATTACAATGCTAACGATATGTATGATTACAATGCACGCCTTGTGTAATGGGCTGAAAAGCGTAAAGTCAAGAGATATCATATTCCGTCAAACATAAGAAGCTGGCGCGCTCGGTTGGCAAATAGCCCGACATCCCACAAATCCAGTATTATTCCGTAGCAACCATCCTCAGAGATACGAAAAACTAGTTCCATATTAATCTTATTATTAATCTAATAATAAGATTAATATGAAACTAGTTATTCCGTAGCAATTTATGGAATATTTCCGAACTCGTTTCCGAACGCCACATACCGTACACAAGAAATATTTGTCGATCTTAAAGGGCCGGAACATATACTACGCGTACTCTTCGTTTTAATGCTATTGTTTTAAAAAGTACACTTCCTTTAACAGATAAGTGCTAAGAGTTTAAAAGAACGCAATAATGATAATTGATGTACAGTATTTGACAGTATAAACAATAAAATCTTTTCCAGGTGCGCAGAAAGATAATTAAATTTGACCATCTTTATGTTACTGAGACGTATATTATGCGTCTGATTGAAGTTGTGAAGGCAATCGTAGTTCGTCTGGTTGTACGTGTATTAATTATACTTAGAGTCTGCGCAAGCACGGTTAATAGATCTAGTTCTATAGATTTCAGGTTTTGCCAAATGTCAATGACGAATTTTGTCATTTGACGCTATCGCCAGATGACGTGACAGTGCATTTTCAAATATAATTTAATTAAAACTGAATCGGCCCGACAAATCGCAGCGTGTGCGCGTACCTTTATAACGTCATAAAGACGTGACAAAATGGATGCCGACAAAGGAACTAGGTCGATTCGCGTGAAAAATTTCGCTAGTGGAAAACCGGCTTTAGGGATGATCGGTCATTAATAATGGGAGGAGGGCGGTGTGTGATAAATACCAAATATTGAACACTTTTTATAGCCACTCCGATCGCAAGACCTCTATTTTCAAGACGCTTCATCTAGAAAATTTAGGACCCCATCCCTCCAACATTTAATTTTTGCTGTAAAAAAGGTAATGGTACAAGTACGGGTGTAAGACATTGTGTATCCTAAATAATTAGAGGACCAGTATTAAAAACTGTTATTATTTACTCCGACTCCTATGGTGAATTGCATATACGTAATAAACTATGGAAACTACGATCATAGGAACTAAAAAGGGTGAATACGATAAAGGTGTAGAAAATGATAAAGGAGAGAGACAGAGATGAGTAAGAAAGCATAAAAATTTGAGTCGCCGCTTTTCGCATATTTTTCAGGTTGAGGCCGCCCTCAATTCAGGCACTGAAAAATAGATGAGCTACCCCATTCTCATCCACCACCACCCCATTCTCATCCCCCACCACCCTCCCTTTATTAATGACCGGTCCCTAATACGAATATTTTTTGCGACTGGTGGTGATCAGTGTTTATGTTCTTTAGAAAGATTTCTATATATTGTACTGTCTTTCATTATCGCCTGCACGTATGTGCAGGTACCAACCTCTAATAAAAAATTATTTAATAAATTCCTAAAATATAATTTCATTCATGCGCTCCGCTATTAAAATGGCCAGTAAAATTTAAAAGAACGGTACGCGCTTAGCCGCTGATTTTAAGGTGTATCTGCAATTTTAGACGTTCCAGAGACTTGCTAAACACGGAGTCACTCAGAGTAGAGAAAGCTTCAGAAATCTAATGGATGATGTTGGAGGTGATTTGCGAAATGAAATCAAACAGTTGGTGAAAACGGAAGGAAGACCACGGATGGTGTTTGATAATTTTGATTTTAAAATACTGGCCAACATAATTTTACCCAACCATCAGAATTCGGATATGCATTGGATTGCACAATTCATGACATTTGATAGGTTCCCTGCCGATCTTTTGGACAACACCAAGCCACTTGTTACTGATGTCAAGTTGTTCAATAACAAGGAGTACTTGTTGACCGAAACAGAACTTCAGACGATCAAGTCAAACTTCTGCACTTTAGTTATGAGAATACTGATTGAATTCGTTCCTTGCATGAAGCATCTTAAAAGTGTGGTCGATAATCATATACCACACAAGTAAGTCCCATACAATTATTGTCTGAATAAGATCTTGTCCAAACGAACTCGCACAAAAAAATCTAATACCTGTATATTTTCATACAAAAAAGGAAAACTTTGAGTTGGAATGCATGGTGGGTGTGGTGAATATTTTCCCAACAGGAAATGAAATGCACGAATTTCGATTTAGCCTTACCCGTGCTCTGATAACCTCTTTATAACATGTAGATAAACATTGTTCGAGTTGTCACGGAGAGTTAACATAGTCATATAACTTCAGTTTGTTTTTAAATCCCCCCGTATTTTTTTCTCCAAACTTGTCAACCTTTTAGAAAGGGGGGGGGGGGTTACGATTGGTAATTAAGCCAGCATCTTAACCGACGTAAGTAATACATTATATTTGCGCTAATGAATATCCAGGCATATGCATGCAGGATAATCATGCATAAACGTGACATTTTCACGAATAGCAAAATGAGTTTCCCAACTTTTTGAATGTTTATCATTACCATTGGTACTAGTTGGATTGATACGTTTACGCATTTTCTCATGCAAAATGCCAATGATATTTCTCTCTATTTTATGAAAAAGGTACTCAAATAAAATGTCAAAGAAATCATGTATTGTTGGTATGCCAATTGTACCATACAATCAAACGAAGCATTCAGATGTTTGCCAGTATTTGGAATATGTAGAAAACTTCCTTGTTGAAGTGTTCAGACAAGAAAACGAGCCAGAGATCAAGGGTGATGACAAAAAAGCGGAGAAAGCGAAACAGAATGATCGAATCTTGAAGGACGTCGAGCTGCCTCTTTGTGGCGATTTACTGGGTCGTGAGCGTGTAACTGGAGCGAAGAAAACACGGATGGGGTGTGATCACAAGACGGAAAGATTTGACAACATTTTTGAAAACGTTGCCCAATGGCACACAAAGCAGTCATTTTTGGGGGTAAGATCAAATTTTTCGCATGAATTTTATGCATTCATGTAAATGCTATATTGTTAACTTTGTATAGAAATAAGGATCGGTAAATGGGTTTTAAAATAATTATTTAAGCCTGGTTCGCTCTAACAATTCTATACAGGGCCGTTGAGATAATTCCAGGGCCGTGCCACCTGGGGGGAGGGGGGGTGATACCCCCCCCCCCAAAGAAAGTAAAAAAGGGGGCCCAAATTGTGGAGAGGGGCCCAAATTGCGGAGAGGGGGCCCTGGAAAGCGGAACGTGTTAAATATTAAGGAATTTTCTGGAAAGTTGGTCTAAACAGGTCTTCAAAATTAAATTTAAGCCCCCATTATGTAAACCTAGTGTTTGAAAAAATTGAGGGGGACTCCCCTCCCCAGTATTTTCCGGAAAAATTCTTTGGTTTCTGGAAAAAAAATTTTGAGGGGGCCGCCAAATTTTTTATTTCACTCCCTCAACCAAAAACCACTTGGCACGGCCCTGGATAATTCGCGGGTCCATGGGGAAATATTCCCTGAGGGCCCAATGACATCATATTTTAAGCTACACCCAACCAGACCTTAGACTTTCATGTGGAGGCACTGTAAGGGGACCTCAATTATCTGACCAATTTGGGGTACTATTAAGGTGGGGGCCCGTGGCAATTTTGCCTCCCCCTGCCGCCCCCCTGAGTGTGTCGGCGATTTTACTCCTCCTGGTGAATGTTATCGAATGAATGACTTCTAAAAAGCGACTCTATATTTTTGTGTGCGAGTTCACTAATTTGCATCCGTCAGAAACACAAAATCGCCGACAAAATTGCTAGTGTCAACCAGACTTAAGGCAACTTTAGTGAATGCAACGGCGTATCTTAAACATATTGTAATAAGCTGGATGGTAAAATAAATATGTTTCCCGCTTCATATGGACAAAACTAAACTTACGTAAAATAATGTTGCAAATAGCAGTATAACTTATGACTCAATTGAATCATCATTAACACCCATTAACATTTCATTATTTTACATACTTGTAGTACACGTGGGAAAACTTGTACAAAGCAACTCCAGTGTCTGGAAGAGAAGAAGGCACTCTGTACAATTTCAGGCAACAATTCAGTATGACCAACGTGTACAAAGACGTGAAGAAGAACTACAAGAGTGCTGAACACCTCATGCTCTGCAGTACGAAAGCGTACGTATGTAGTGCATTCATGAGTTGGGCAGGAATGGAAAACCTTGACGATGATCCTGAACACCTAATTATTCCATCGAAGTACTCGAAGTTAGAGGAGAAACAAGATTTCGTCGAAAGGGAGATTGGCAGTTTTGTTGAACAATACGTTCTTTCAGAATTTGATGTCGAGAAAGCTCAAAGAGAGGAAATCGAGAAGATTAAAGAAAATGAAAGCACAGAGCGACAGTCAATAGGTGAAACTGCTTTAGTTGGCCAACAGAATTTCAAAATAGGTAAAGTATATCTCACTCGTAAAAATAGACTAGGTCTAGGATACCAATGTAACGAACAAACGGAACAGCCTTTAATAGCCATGTGTGGCGATATAATGATCTGTTTACCAGTTCAGTTTATGTTAATCATAGGAGATATCGCCATAATGGTACAAGCAGATGTTACAAACAAAGACTATTACTATCTTGGTATGGGCAAGGTAGTTGAGCCCGCTTTGTCTACCACAGACCAACCAGCGGATGCGATATTTTTGCATGTGCTTGCAGTCGGAAACACAATATCAACACTTGTCAAAGTAGGTCAAGTTGTTTCATGGCCAAAGATCAATCTCGCCCTGCCACTTAAACAAAGCTCCCTGCCTACTTCTGAAATTACGATGGACCTGTCAGAAGAACACAGTGACGACAGAGTCATGAATTATGCATTGCAATGCATTCAATTAGGTATCATGCTTATGCAATTGAATGATACAGAGAAAGAAGGAGACGGTGATAGATGTCTGATGAACTGGAAAATATTAATGCTGTATTTCAGATCACGCAAACATGGTATGAAATATGCGTTTGAAGCTATGAGATTGCTTACATGCACAAAAGCGGTGTTTACTGAGCAAATGGCTCATCGGATTATTCACGGACAGTTCGTAAATGCAAAAGGAGGGCCCGGAAATAACTATTCCAATGATCTCAAGATGGAGACATTGGTAAAAGACCATAAAGTCATTTTGAAAGGATTATGTGGAAACAAAACGCTAAAAGCTGTCCAGAGAAGCACAAATGCGGTGTACGGATTGAGAAGTGTGGTGCCAGCAATCGACGAAGAAAGTAATGTGAAACCGGACTCCACAAAACATACACATGCCAGTTCAAACAAGATTGTGGAGGAAATGATAAATGTACTTCAAGCAGTGAAGCCTTTCCACGAACAACCTGGAAGAATGTTGCGTTCATTTCCTGATATTTCTAAGAGCCCACTTGATCGTCTTGACGTAACTGCTTTACATAAATGGTTGACGCACAACAAAAACAGACTATTTGCAAACACATTCGCATCAAGTGATGATGTTGCAGATAATGAAGATGAGGAGGCAACACTACATGATGATGATGAAAGTGATGGTGAGAGGTTAAGTGAAAGCGAAGACGAAATGGAAGTTCTCATTGTATAAAGCAGAATTAAAGGTAAATCACCAATTATTACAGGACTTTTACTGTCGATGCAATGGAAGTGTTGATAAAATATTGCATGAATTCATTTCCTCAAGTTGATCAAATCATACGAATTCAAATTTCTTTTTACTTCCTGTGCGTTTCCTATTGGTCAATCGGTTCTGAAACGAAATCTAATTGCCTCATTTAAAATTAACAGGAAGTTGATCAATTTTCTATCAAATGAATTGATCAACTTGAGGAAGGAATTGGTGAAATATTTTATCAACACTTCCATTGCATCGACAGTAAGCTAATACACTGATTGGTTGATAACATAGAATTAGTGTGAATGAAAAATATATTCAATATATATACAGTAGTTTCCGGGTACAGTACTATATGCAGGGTGTGTAAAAAAACTGAACAGATTTGAAATTGCTTTCAATATGCTTTCTTTGTGTACCGTACTTATAATGTACAATAATGAAATTAGGTATATTGATTAGGTAAAGTATAATATGCAAATTAGGTAAAGGCATGCAAAAACTGTAAAATTAAGCATGCAAAAAACTGATAATTTTTTTAGACTAAAGCAAATTGTCTGAATTTTTTAACCTAGTACCAGTAATTAAAAAACCAAATAGATTTTACACCTATTAACTCAAAAATTATGATTAAAGCTTTTAAATTTAGTGCACAAGCCATTTTTAGTTTGTTGGAAAAGTAACCCCCCCCTCTGGTTCAAAAAATTTGAGTTTGAGAATTTTTTCATTTTGTACATTATAAATACCAAAAAAGCTATATACATAAAAAACTGGATACTAATAACTGTTTTTCATCAGTACAGTAATATATAAATATACTGTAATACCGGGTGGCCCAAAAAAAAGTACTCCTGTTTGATTCGTAATAACTTCTAAACAAGTAAAGTTTTTAAAGAGAAATAACTTGCATTAAATAGAGGAAGGACTAACTTAGATTTTGATATATTACAGTTGTATTTAACTTAAAA